TATAACCCCAGAGAGCACCCGTCTGACTCGTAAAGAGGAAGGGCAAATTGTCCATAGGACCATTGGTGACTAAGAGTCAAACAAACCCATCATCAAGGATCGATATCCCCAATTCCGAATCAATGGCCTATTCAACCAACTTTAAGAAACAAACACATGTCGATATCCCACTAGCTTAGAGTTCCGTAGGAAGAAACTCCCAAGACAACCTAGGATTCATAAGGCCAGCTGCACCACACGCAACCTTAACCTTGGTAACAATAATTCCATCCTTAGGGTCTAGAAACACTACCTCTAGGACATCAGGAACACAACCTTCATTAGGCCATTCGAGATCCTTGCCAGGATAGGTCCAGAAGCCCATGGACTTTAGTTACCACAAGGACTCAACATTGTACATCCCACATTCCACGTATCCAACCCTAATAAGTGTCTGACCGCCGAAGCTCTTGTAGTCCCACTCGAAGAAATCAAGGTAAACAAGAGCCTACACCCTGAAGAGGAACATGTGGGGATCATGGGCAGGGAGAGAAAAAGAGCAAGGTCAAATACCAATAACGAAGGTCCTTTGGAACACCAAGCAAGGACCCAAATTCCCCTAGGAACGAAGAGGCCAGATGAAACAGAGATACCTGCAACTTTCTCCTAGTTGCAAGAGCCGTCCAAGATGCTAATTTCGGGACGAAATTCCCTCTAACGAGGGAATGATGTGACAACCCGAAAGATTTGGATCAAGCAAGGTCTAAATTGTAACCCCATTACAATAAAAACCTTGAAAACCAAAAGGGCATAAGTGCATGTATATGGATGTATACACTTTGGAAATCATATATAGGATAACCTCTTGAAAGTAAACAAGTTTATCAAGGCAAAACTAGACAAATAAATTGGAATAGGAATCATGAATTTGAAATATTGTTTATTAGTATTTAGCCTATTATTCCACCCACCCTAGAGCATTTGAAAACCATAAGTACAATGACTTATAAGCTAACATATATGTATATAAATATGTGTAATAAGCTTTGTGGAACCATGATTGAATGCACACTGACAAGTTAAAAAGCTAGCACACAGTAAGCATTCCCTTATGAATTAAGGGCCTAGAACCCCCCCTATGGCCGAAAACACCCTTGTGGGGACAAGTTAGGGCCGAAAACCCTTTCCATGAGGGGCCCAAAACCGAAAACAAAACCAAAACAAAGCACTATGACCGAAAACTACTCTAGTGAATCAATGCTTAGACGTAAACTACATTAGTGGATCATTGTTGGCCGAAAACTCTAAGAGAAAGGACTTAGAACCGTAAACACCCTTAGTGGACCACACCTAGACCAAAATCAAATAGCCTAGGACCAAAATCCCTTATGATTTCAGTCATATTAAGATATCTTGAGGGGTTTGCAGTCAAGGGAAGGAAAAAGGACAAGAGGAGTTGACTTTGTGATGTGGAGCTTCATCCTTTTCCCATGAAATCATGGTAACCCAAGTGAATACCCACCAAATATCAAAGTATTACCCACCATGTATCCATGAGCTATCACCTCCTTCTTCCCGCTTATACTTGTGGCCGATCCCATACACACACACCACAAAAATCTTTCACTCACTTCACTCTCAAGAACTTCACTCTTTCTCTCTCAAATTTTCGTGAACCACCATCAAGAGGAGTTACATCTTCAAGTGGTCCTAAGAAATCTAGGTAAGTTTCTTGTAAAAATCACGTGATTTTTTACACCAAAAGGTTAAGATCATCACATTTACACACCATTTTCGTGTGTAGCTTCTTAGAACATCACCCATTTTCGAGAATACCTTCAAGCTCAAGACCAGGCTCAAAATCTCTTCACTTTCCTTCCTACAACTCACGAAAAGACCAAGATGAGTTCATACCCCTACATTTTAATGTTTTCTTCAAGTTTTAGGGGGGGGGGAATAGAAGTTACAACACCAATACATAATCTAAACTTAAACATCAGTTTTCAGCAGAAAAGTTATGGTCTATTCACGGACTGTTTTGACCATCTTAAACTTAATATTTTTCAAATCTGTTCAATATGCAAATAGTTAAGGTTTATACCTTTCTAAAGACTACTCGCACGCGTTCATATGATTTTTCTACAATTTATGATGATTTTTACAAAACTGCCTATCATTTCAGAAATGATTTCGGACCAGTCTATGAAGATGAACATTTTCACACTGGTTTGAGACCACTAAAAATTATGAACAAAGTAGACTCATTTTCTAAACTCTCAGAGTTTACGGATCCAAATTTCGACTTACGATGGTTTTTCTATATTTTTTCTAAAAACATGGACAAAAAGGTTAAAAATTAGAAATTGTCTTTATCGTACTAAAAGCTCTTATACTTGTGTTAGATGTAAGTTTATATGATATATTCTTTTAAACATCTAGACATGTTAACTTATATGTATATATATATATATATATAAATTGTCTTGACAAACAAACATAATAAACTATAATCGGTATAGTTTGGAGGTCACAAACCACACTTTTGAGACTTTCCTTCACCGTACTTACCTAGCGTACACCTTAACCGTACTTACCTTCACCGTACTTAACTAGCGTACACCTGTTAATGCTCTTGTGAGAAACATAATAAACTATAATCGGTATAGTTTGGAGGTCAAGTAAAAGGGGAGTCATAGTTCACGTAAATCTGTTAATGCTCTTGTGAGACTTTCCTTCACCGTACTTACCTAGCGTACACCTTAAGTCTTGCGTTATAACCAGAGTCTCCTGGAGGGAGAGCGAGACCGTTGTGTATAGATCTATACGGGATTGACAACCCCACACCTCAACTGTTCGCTACAGTTAGACCGGCAAGTCTAGGGTGACAAAAGTCTACCAACTCCGACGCCTGAAGAACGTCGTTCAGGCATAGCAGTCATATCAAGCATGGTTATAAGAACTCACATAGAGATTAGTGAAACTATTTGGTTTACGGGAAGCTTACACTTCATTAGTTTTATTGAAAGAAATAAAACTATATACTATTTTATGTACGATATTCACTTCCATCGTGGTCTTAGGGTTTAAGACCACAGTTCACCTTTAAGAAAATACTACATTTTTCTGGAAATATACATTATTACTTTACAAGGAAAAGATACAAAGGAATTACTTCAATTTCAGTTCATATCAAAGAAAATATCGGATTTTCTGGAAATATACGAAACCATCTTTCGCGAAACAGTTACAAACCCTTTTTATGCAAAAATGCTTATGAACTCATCAACTTAATTGTTGACACTTTTCAAAATCACTTGTATTCTCAGGAATCCAGTAGACAGGTACTTAACCCTTCTTGAGGGCCGGCGTCGTCATCTCATGTTTTTCCTACTTTTCAGTTATTTGTATTCAGCTTTTGAACAACTGAGTTTTGTAAACAAAGTAATACTTGAAATCTTAATGTATGAATGTTTGTGTTGCTATGTTTCATTACTATTCAATTGTTATGATACTGTACATGAAGTCACTCCATCCGCCCCCAGACGTTTCCGCCATTCTGGTTTAGGGGTGTGACAATAGGACAATAAGCATTGAAGAAAAGATGGCTATGTTCTTACATGTTATAGGACATAATGAACGTTTTCTCGCGGTTAAGGGAATATTTCAACACTCCAAACAAACGATTCATCAAAGTTTTCACGAGGTCCTAACTGCAATGATGTGTTTTGCAAAAGAAGTTATAGTACCAACAACTCCTAATCCAACGAGACATAACACATAATGACATAGACAGTTAAAAGAGATTTTTTCCGGAGCAATAAGTGCATTAGATGGAACTCTTGTACATGCGGTTGTGCCCTTTGATCAACAAACTCGTTATAGGGGAAGAGGAAAATGTGAATGTTTTCAAAATGTAATAGGAATTTGTGATTTTGATATGATATTCACCTTTGTTTGGGTTGGATGGGAGAGTATAGCACATGATTCAAGAGTTTTGAAATAAGTTGCATTCAATCCGACTTCTGGATTTCCATTTCCTCCACCAGGTTTTGTAATCTTTATATAACTTTTATTATCCATCTTCTTTATATAATATATGTTACACTCATTTGCAGATAACTATTACCTTTGTGACGCCACATATACAAACACTCGCGGATTTATGGCTCCGTACCGCAATACTAGGTATTGGTTAGCCGATTTTCGAATAAGCAAACCTTTAACTAGAGAAGAAAGGTTCAATCATGCTCATGCACAACTTAAAAATGTTATTGAGCATGCTTATGGTGTATTGAAGGCGAGATTCCCAATCTTAAACCAAATGACTCCTTATCCTTTTACAGTGCAAAGAGACATAGTCATTGCTTGTGTCGCGGTCCACAATTTTATAAGGAAATACAATATACATGACTCGTTTACAAATTTTGAGAAGGACACTCTGGTTACTCCTGATGTCCAAGGTGTAATAATTGATAGAGAAAACATACAAGACATAGAATGGGGTCCAAAAGTTGTTCAATATATGCGTAATGCGTGTTTTGCATGATCAAATTGCAAATCAACTACTTTCACCTACTTTACATTAAATTATCATGTTATTTTAAAATTCATTATGTTTTTATTTGGATATTAAATGATTTATGTTTAATTGACATTTTGTATGACAAATTTTATTTGGATTTTTAAATGATTTGTGTGTAATTTACATTTTGTATGTTTTCATAATTATTCAACAACTTCATCCATCATTATATGGAGCAACAAAGTAAAATAATCATTTTTCATCAGTCGGCACATTCAATTAAATGTACAATCAAACAACACGGTTTCTTACTTAGTCAGAATTTTTTTATCTAGACAGACCTTTCACCAGTACTTTTTCAATAAACAACTATCAAACAAGATCATAAAAGTTTAATCGAAAAAAAAAAACTAAAATACGGTTTTTTATATATACAGAAAAATCGCTTTTACAAATTAAAATGTAGATCCACTAGCATGCTTTTTTACATATGAATTTAAAGCAATTTTTATTAGTTAAATCCATGGGCGTGTCGATGCAATTTCTAGGAAGTGCAATGGGCATGGTAGCATTAGCATATGCACGTTTCCCCCTTTTTGTTTCTCTATAATTTGAATCTAACTCCCTTCCACTACCACCATGAAACTTCCACGATTCCGAATCGGTTGAGATTGAGCTTGTTTTTTCGAGGGGTTTCTTCTTCCCTCCAGGTTAGACCTCTAAATTTCCTATCTACAGATCCGTTTTTTCTATTTTATTTGTTAAATTAACTGAAATTTCAACTTGTTTGATCCAACACGCATGCGTTTTTCTTCACGAATCCATGTTATGTGAACAGTTTTAGCTTTATCCGTTGTTTGATTTCGTTAATTAGGTTTACATGGTTCTATAGAATCTTTGAACAGAGAATTTCGATCATTTAAGATGAAACAAAAATAAATCATATAATGGGATATGAAAGGTTAGGGCTAGATTCCAACAGTGGTGAGATCTAGTATGGAATGTGGATCAGGGAAACATGGTTTTTCTTTTTCCTCTTTGATTCAAACAAATCTACCATTGTTACTTCTTCCAACTTAGTGATGATTTTCTTATCAGTTAGGGTTCAAATAATTCGGTTTGTAGATGTAGATAAGAAATTGTAAGAAAACTTGATATCAAATAAGGTGTATATATTCGCAATTGCTATGAGAAATCTTGAGATGGGATTTTCATGTAACTTGATGGATTTAGGGAGTATCACATTACTTTAATTATTGAACATTTTAGGTGGTATTTTTCCTTAATTCCTGGAGATATTAGGTTAAAAAACCATGGTAAATTCAATTTATCACAAGTTAAAGCTTGAAAAGTATTAAATCATGTATGATATTATTGTAAACTGAATCTGAAATAGAGATTTCTATCTATGACAACTAGTGCTAAACAAAAAAAAAAAAATTGTTTCACGAAGAAAAAATTACTTAATTTTTCAATTCTTGTGTAGAACTTATTCCATTTTATGATATTTTTACTACATTTTATTATATCATTGAATTTCTTATATATGGTGTCAAGAGTGTTTTGTATCTATTGTGTAAAAATATCCCATAACAACATGAAAGGCTTTTTGTGTTTCTTTAATGTGCTAATAAGTTGTTTTTGGTATTTAAATTCATACAACTAAAATTAATCTTAGTATGTTTATGATATGTCATATGAAAATAATGTTTCAAAAACATGACTTTAGCATATTAAAATGGTTACAAAAGAAAGTTGTTAGAAATATATAGCGTCACATTCACTAATGCCAATAAAAAAAAGTTATATTGTAACAAGTTTAACATGCCAAAGGTGATCAATGTTTTGGGCTTTGTTTAGTGGGCTTATAAGTTTTTTTTTTTTTTTGTGTGTTTAAATTCATATTTCATAGAATACTTTGATAACATACAAATAAAAAAAGATCTTAGTTAAAACTAGTTTTGTATTATTTTAAGTCTATTTATTTTGCAGAATAATGTTGTGCGAAATCGAATGTCTCCAACACGTGTCAATCCCAACAAAAGATCTCGATACAAACGGAACAATTCCCGCAAGTTCAATCGTAACAAATCTTTTAAAACAATTAACAATATACAAAGCTCTAGAAGAATTCGGTTATTTTATCGGTGTAACAAAATTAAAAGCAATTAAAAATGGAATAAATCACGAATCAAAAAAATACATAGATTTTTTAGTAGCATTCAATTGTCGAACCCTTTTACCCGTAAAAGGTGAAACCATGATTGGAATTGTTCACTCGGTAAACCGGTTTGGGGTTTTTTTAAAATCGGGACCTATGAAAATTGTTTATTTATCAACAAGAAAAATGCCAAATTATTATTATGTGGATGAGGGTGAACCGGGTTTTTTGAGTAATGATATGTCGAGGATTGAGAAGGATGTTGTGGTCCGGTTCGTGGTTTTTGCTACAAGATGGAACCAGAGGACACGTGACATTAGGGTATTGGCTAGTATTGAAGGCGAGTCACTTGGACCGGTTAGTACGGCCGGTTTGGATGGGTTCGAGGTGTAGTTTGGGCAAAAGTTGAAAGTAAAGGGGTTAAAGTTGTATAAATGTTGTTTTTTTTGGGAATGAAAGAAGTAGGAAAAGAGTATATTTGTAAGTGAAAGTTAAAGTGAAATGAGAATTATGTGGTTTTTGGTTTTTGAAGATGAAGTCAAAGTAATAGTCCCTTGGGTTATGTGTATTGTTCAGATATTACCCTGGAATATATAAATATATAATATGCTTTTAATTAAGTTGAAAATTTAATTAAAATTTGTTAATTGCTGATTTTGATAATTTTCCATGGTTGTCCAAATCGCGATCCTGATACGATCCTAGGTATGAAAAACGATCCAGATCGTAAACGGATCGTATTTGGGGTAGGATCGCAGGTAGGATCGGGATCCGATCCAATCCTCCCTTTCCTTGATTTTTTTTTTTTTTTTTTTTTTTTTTGCAAATTAAATCATTTTACCATTTTATGTCTTTTACCCGTTTACCAAGTTACCGTTTATCATTTTATGTTGTGACTTATGACTAGTATTTTGAAGTTTTTATAACTTTTGAACAAAAAGTTGAATGTTTAAAATATTTTTCATGTATTAAAATTATAAATTAAAATTATGTTTCATTTTATAGGATCTTAGGATCCCGATCCCGATCTTGGAAACCCAAAAACGATCCTATGTAGGATCCCGATCTTGACAACCTTGAATTTTTCTATTGATTAGTGAATTTATTAATTTGATTTTAATCTTTTGTCATAAAGCTTTTCTTCAAGTGTTTATATGTTTTAAGTGGCGTTCCATTCATTGTTTTGATAATTTTGTCACGTGTTAAGAAGTTGGTAGTTTTATACTTTTATAGATGTTTAATAATATCAATGGTGTTATTATTACTATTATTATTGTTGTCATTAGTCATAAGATCATATAATCTATACATAAGATGTAATTTTTTTTTCTTAAAAGGGTAAACTTATTAAGTTGTGGTTCATACTATAATTTTATGGTCACAAAATCAATGTTTGGTTTCAAATCCAAGTTACTTTTTTGAATTAGACAAAATCAATGTTGTAGAACCATATTGTAGAAAAATATAAGTGGGTAAACTAAAAACAAGATAAATGGAATCTATTATATTTTGGTTATTTTTATGATTTAACAATTATATTATAATTTTGTCAATTAACGCCACTCAAGTTTGATAACTTGTTCTGTAGCGGTCATTTTGACCTACAAACCTAAGAACAATATTAGGATGACCCGCAAATCTGGATCGAACTTGTGATATTTTATAAAGTATAAGGACCAAACTTGTAATTTATTCTAAAATAAGTTTTAATAAAATGATGTATCAATAATCAATAGACAAAGAAATGAAGGTCTGAGAGGGCCATGTTGAGAAACATGTTGTAGAGATGCACATGGATGATATTTGTCGGGTCTACCTTCATCAAATATCGTTTTTGAATGAAATTAAATTTTGTTTTGTATATATAAATTTTTTAATCCTTTTCTTTTAGCAAACATATATATATATATATATATATATATATATATATATATATATATATATATATATATATTTAACAATTTCCTCAATATTCGGTATTTATACTGGTCCTAACCGACACTCATCTGTCTTTAAAATATATTTCAATCAATATATTAATGTTTATAAATTTGAGTATAGCAGTTAATAACTATCATTTAAATGTTGGTTTAATGTCATGTATCCTTATGAGCTATTTATTTCACCCTCCACCTCCACCTCCGACCACCACCACACTTCATTCCACCACCACCATTAGATGGATGATTTTGGATTTTAGCTAGAGATGTCGGTTTTAGGACCCAAGGAAAATATGCTTCAATGAAAAAAAAAAAGATGGATGATTTTTGGATGAAAAATGGTTGAAGATGAAGAACATGCCATAATGTGTCCAAATCAATATCTAAACAAACATTCTTAAGGATGCTCTTGACGTGCATATCCTTGAAGTTCATATCTAAACTGAAGACGAAAATCGAGATCTAAACCAAGTCCTAAACCAAAACGTTTAAATCATCATTTTTCTGAAAAATCAAATTGCTTAAATCTACATTTTCTTGAAACAAAAATACACAATCATATCGCTTAATCACCATTTTTTTGAAAAATCATGGAGATCGATTCTGAAAAGTTTGGGGAAAAAAACTGGAAAATATGAGATCTAAACCCTAATGTATTACCAAATCTAAACAAATTGATTTGCTAAATAAGAACGAAGCAGAAGTTCATAGGGCAACAAGCAATAATAACATTAACTAGTGTCATACCCATCCGGTGGATAGGTTGATAAATGTGGAAATAGTATATTGATTTATCTTAATCTTATTGCATATTACATACTAGGTGATAACCCGTGTACTACACGGTTGGTTGATATTAATCATGCAAACAAATATTTTTTTATATAATTTGTACATCTAATCATATAAAGTATTTAACTTGATTAAGTTTTCAATAGTTTTTTATTTATAGCATTTTGAAAACGAAATGAAATTATATCTTGATTTCTTGAGCCACATTTATGGATGATTTATTGGGGGTAAATTTAAAATGGAGAAACAATAAAGTGATACATGACAAAAGGATGGTAAAACTATTCTTTTATTAGTTAGGGATCTGTATTGTAAATTAAGGTAGAAGATTTAACTATTTAAGTATTGTACTTTCAAATATAGCATCATTATTTCAAAAAAAGGTACGTTTTTTTTTCTTATTCATGTTTTATTTGGCAACAGATAAGCATTTCAATACTAATGGGGGGGGGGAGGGGTAAAACCGTCCAAAATCATTAAAACGAATTAGGGATCCGTTATAATCGTACAAAAAGATTACATGTAATTCGATTTTACGGATTCTAACTGGTTTCGAGTCATGATGAAATATAGAATAATAGATATATAAAACGATTATACATCTCCAACAAATGATCAATCATTGTTATACCACATTTGTATTGTAAATAAAGGTAAAAAATTTAACTATTTAAGCATTGTACTTTCAAATATATCATCATTATTTCAAAAAAAAGTACGTTTTTTTTTCTTATTCATATTTTATTTGGCAACAGATAAACATTTCAATACTAATGTGGGGAGGAGGGGTAAAACGGACCAAAATCATTAAAACGAATTAGGGATCCGTTATAATCGTACAAAAAGATTACATGTAATTTGATTTTACGGATTCTAACTGGTTTCGAGTCATGATGAAATATAGAATAAAAGATATATAAAACGACTGTACATCTCCAACAAATGATCAATCATTGTTATACCACATCTGTATTGTAAATAAAGGTAAAAGATTAAATTATTTAAGCATTGTACTTTCAAATATATCATCATTATTTCAAAAAAAGTACGTTTTTTTTCTTATTCATATTTTATTTGGCAATAGATAAGCATTTCAATACAAATGGGGGGAGGAGGGGTAAAATGGTCCAAAATCATAAACGATGCAGGAGGGGTAAAACGGTCCAAAATCATTAAAAAAATTAGGAATATGTTACAATAATAAAAAAACATATTTTTATTGTAAATAAGAATTAAAAATTAAATAATGATGCTATATTTGAAAGTATAATGATTAAATAAGAAAAATAACATATATTTTTTTTTAAAATAAGCACAATGCTATTAAGCCTTTTATTGGGTTAAAAATACGACATTCCTGTTATATGTATAAATTCTTCGTGGGTTAGAATTTAAGAGCTTATGTTGAACCCAACTTCTTGATCATACAAGAATGTTGTAGATGCAAGTTGCTCCGTATTTAGTCATAAGTACATAATCCCTTTATTACCAACACTATCCATTACAATTACAATACAATTGGGGGTAGTACGGGTAAAATGGTCCAAAATGAACTGGGATTTGTAGGGACTGAAGTGAACACTGAAGTCGATTATTTCATATTAACATTCCTTCAAGCATGGTCCATTCCATTCCGTTCCATCAAACAATGGAATAACCGATTCCATCCCTTTCCCGATAACCTGTTCTATTGTTTCCGGTTTTTGAGAACATAACATTCCGATCTGCTGAGTAGACAAAATAGAATGAGTGAAAATTACTCCATCCATGGAAGCAAGTTCATTTCTCAAGTTATCAAGCTCCGATTCCAATCCGGAGTTTCTTCCACGTTTGGAGGAATTAGCAATTCCAATACCACTACTCCTCTGTCCACTACTAACCTCAAGCATAATACTCTTCTTCCCTGTTTAAGAATTCTCAATCATTTATAAATTTATAATGCTAATTAATTGAAGTGACTTCTTACACTTACCATGCAAAACATGCTTAGCAATTGGTCCAATTGCCACGTAAGCATTAGTGGCATAAGCTGTATGCGAAAATTCTTCTTTCTGCATACAAAAATAAAACTTACTCTTTGAAAAAGTTATCAAATTTATTCAATCCTATTATCATTTATCAATCAATCAAAAATATTTGAATTTTGATTGATTTTGATGTGTTAAACTAAAAGGTGATTATACATTTATACTTACCAATACCCTGTGGAGAATAAGTTGAATCACAAATTGCTCTAATTCATCCTTCTTTAACTCAAACCCTAAAAGGTATAAATTTTTTATAAAAATGGATAATAATAATAATAATAATAATAATAATAATAATAATAATAATAATAATTGTGGGGATATGATATGAGTATTACTGACCTAATTCCTTGTTTTTAACCTTTAACTTGTCAACCAATTGCAACATTGTTGCTCTCTGATCCTTTTCTTGTATTTCTTGTAGCAAAGATACAATAGCTTTTGCATGTCCTCAAATAAATAAGGGCATATATGTAAAAAATTGGGACTTATGTTTTGTTTCTTTATGACTTAATGGACTTAATAGATACAAAACTAAATACATATATATTGTTTAATAGATTAAGCATATACCTGACACATCAATTTCCTTGACCTCACAAGAAAATGCACAATTATCACACATTCCTGCTCTTGTAAAAAACCACCAGAGTAAATATTTTAATAATTAATTTACCTAATACTGATAATTAGATGATGATGAAATATAAATATTAAATACCATTGCATTCTTGAAGAGGCTCAGCAAAATCTCTAAAGAAAGGACTTCAGCTGCATTCTCTTTTAGACTGAAATTAAAAAAATATAGTATAATAATAATAATAATTTACATTTTACAATAAAAAATAATATGGAAAGATCATTGACATGTGTAAAAGAATACAAACCTGACAAAAATCGCACCATTTCATATAGATTCTGCAACCCACAATTCTCATAGAAGACCATGGAGCTCTGTAAAGAGAAATAGAGAATGGTGAGTGTTTGATATTATATAAATGACAGAAATACCCTGTCACACCCCCGAACCAGACGGCAGAAAGGTCCGGGGGCTGGCGTGACTAACAATTGAAATATCATCACAATGGATATACATGAAACGTAACACGTTCATCACCAAACATTACATAGTACAACTGGCATTGTTTACATCAAGTACAAGGTTTACATTACATGATTTCCAAAATATAAAGTGTTTGGTGATTAGCAACTACAAAAGAAACTTTCAACACACTGGATGCTTCCTTGTCTAACGATTACCTGAGAATACAAGTTATTTTGAAAACGATCAACATATATAATGTTGGTGAGTTCATAAGTGTGTTTGATGTAAAATAGTTTATGTCATTCGTAAAACCCAGAAAATCCGATATTTTCTGTATTAAAACTTTTCTTGAAAATGTGGTGATGATCCTGTAAGTATATACATAGATATCCCATGTATAATTATGAGGTGTCATCCTCCCCTTAACCACCCATTAATCTCATTTCCTCTTTTTTTTTTATCTTGGGCCGAATTCTTGGGCTTAGGAGGAAGGAAGTAGTTTATCTTGGGCCATTGCTTGATTTTGTTCGAAACCATGAGTCCATTAAGTAGGTTTTCGGCCCATTGGGCTTTTAGAGGTGGTTCACGGCCCAATGTGCACAAAAGAATTGATTTATGGTCCATTTGAAGGTTCTAAGCCCAACATAGTCAAATTGGAGGCTTATTGGCCCATTAGGCCCAATAAGAAATCCTAGTCCATAATGGGCTTAAACCGAGATTTTTAGGGTTTTCAACTTTACTTTGGTGAATCTGGGTTTGAATTTGTCTCCATAGGGTAAACTTCAAGCATAATATGAATTTGAGTTACGAGTTTACAGTAGATAATGTTTACAAGAGTACATAATTTCCTAGCTAGAATGCTAGTTGTGACATCATCCCCCCGTTAGAGGGAATTTCGTCCCGAAATTCTTTTTGAAGCTAGATTTGAGAATGCGAGAATAAGTGAGGGTACTTTTGCTTCATCTGGTCTTCGCGTTCCCAAGTGAATTTCGGTCCACGCTTTGCGTTCCACCGAACCTTCACTATTGGAATGCGACTTTGCTTAGTACGCTTCACCTCCCTGTCCATGATCTCGACGGGTTCCTCGATGAACAGGTGATTCTCGTTGATTTCGATTTCTTCCAACGGAATGACGAGAGTTTCGTCGGATAGGCACTTTTTCAAATTTGAAACATGGAACACGGGGTGTACACTGTTGAGTTCGATAGGTAGCTGCAGTCTATAAGCCACTGGACCAATTCGGGCAAGAATCTCGAATGATCCAATGTACCGTGGGTTTAGTTTTCCCCATTTCCCAAAACGAATCACCCCTTTCCAGGGGGAGACCTTTAACAACACCCGATCCCCGACTTGAAATTCCAAGGGCTTTCGCCGTTTATCAGCGTAGCTCTTTTGTCGGTCGCGTGATGCTTGAATTCGAGCTTTGATTTGAACTATTTTCTCTGTCGTTTCGCGTATGATTTCTGGTCCTGTTAATGCATTGTTTGGTGTCTGCCCTCTTGCCAGTTGAGTGTCGCCTACCTCTGTCCAACACAACGGTGATCTACATTTACGACCATATAATGCTTCGAAAGGAGCAACTTTGATGCTTGTGTGATAACTGTTGTTGTATGAAAACTCAATTAAAGGTAAGTGGGTATGCCACGACCTTCCAAAGTCTATCACACATGCTCGAAGCATATCCTCAAGCGTTTGAATGGTACGCTCACTTTGACCATCCGTCTGTGGGTGGTAAGCAGTGCTCATGTCGAGTTGTGTCCCCATAGCCATCTGTAGCGATTGCCAAAAGCGTGAAGTGAACCTACTATCTCGATCTGAGATGATAGATATTGGTACTCCATGGAGTCTCACAATTTCCTTGATGTAGATTCTTGTTAGTCGCTCCATCTTGTATGTCTCCTTTATTGGCAGGAAATGGGCGGATTTTGTCAACCTGTCGACTATTACCCATATGGTATCCAATCCATCTATTGTCTTGGGTAATTTGGTCACAAAGTCCATAGTAATCCTTTCCCATTTCCACTCGGGTATTACCGGCTGTTGTAGTAGTCCCGAGGGCTTTTGATACTCTACCTTCACTTTCGCACAAGTGAGGCACTTTCTAACGTAAGTGGCAATCTCTGCCTTCATGTTAGGCCACCAATAGTATTGCTTGACATCCAGGTACATTTTATCTGATCCTAGATGGATGGAGTATCGTGTCTTATGAGCTTCATTCATGACTACTTCTATGAATCCTCCAAGTTTAGGGACCCAAATTCGGTTCATGAAATAATATGTTCCATCCTCCTTGACTTCGAAGTTCTTTTCCATTCCACGTAACGCTTCGCTCGTTCTGTTTTCTGTCTTCATGGCGTCGAACTGGGCTGCTTTGATTTGTGAGGACATATAAGATTGGATGGTTATTGAAAGAGTCTTCACACGACGATTGGAGTATTCTTTCCGACTCAAGGCATCAGCTACCACGTTAGCCTTGCCTGGGTGGTACTTGATTTCACACTCATAATCGTTTAGCAGCTCAACCCATCTTCGCTGCCTCATGTTTAACTCCTTTTGATTTAAAATGTGCTCGAGACTCTTGTGGTCGGTGAAAATGGTGCACTTGGTACCATAAAGGTAGTGCCTCCAAATTTTCAAGGCGAAGACCACAACTCCCAATTCGAGATCATGGGTGGTATAATTCACCTCATGTGTCTTTAGTTGTCGGGATGCATAAGCTATAACCTTACCACGCTGCATGTGTACACAGCCTAAACCCTGATTCGAAGCATCGCAGTAAACTACGAAGTCCTCTGTTCCCTCTGGTAGTGATATTACGGGTGCACTACAGAGATATCGCTTCAAAGTTCGGAAGACAACCTCCTGCTTTTCTATCCATTCAAATGGCACGCCCTTTTGTGTAAGCATGGTAAGTGGCTTGGCTGTTTTGGAGAAGTTCTGAATGAATCTCCTGTAATAGCCTGCGAGACCTAAAAATTGACGAATTTATGTGGGTGTCGCTGGGACTGCCCATCCTTCAATGGCTTTGATCTTAGAAGGGTCCACATGTTTCCCTTCTTGGCTGACAACATGACCTAAAAAGTTTACGCTACGGAGCCAGAACTCACATTTAGAGAGTTTTGCGTATAACTTTTCAGTTCGTAGGGTTTCCAAGATTTGCCGGAGATGTCGGCCATGCTCCTCTTCGCTTCGAGAATAGACTAGAATATCGTCGATGAAAACGATGACAAAGTTGTCGATGAATGGTCGGCAGACTCGATTCATCAGGTCCATGAATGCGGCAGGGACATTCGTTAGACCGAAGGGCAATACAACGAATTCATAATGTCCATAGCGGGTTCGAAAAGCGGTTTTGGGAATATCCTCTTCCCGGACCTTGAGCCGGTGGTAGCCGGACCGTAGATCTATCTTAGAGAAGTAATTTGCTCCCTGGAGCTGGTCGAACAGATCGTCGATTCGTGGAAGTGGGTAGCGATTTTTGATAGTGAGCTTATTCAGCTCTCTATAATCGATACACATCCTAAAGGATCCGTCCTTCTTCTTAACAAAAAGGACCGGAGCTCCCCAGGGTGAGAAGCTAGGTCGGATGAATCCTTTACTCAAGAGCTCGCTGAGTTGGCTTGACAGTTCTAGCATCTCCGCAGGAGCCAACCTATAGGGTGATTTGGCAATTGGCGTAGCTCCCGGTACCAGGTCAATTTGGAACTTGACTTGTCTTTCTGGAGGTATCCCCGGAAGATCTTCGGGAAAGACGTCCGGGAAGTCGCAAGCCACTGGGATGTCTCAAATATTGACCTCTTTCTTGGACTTATCCACTATGTGTGCCAGAAACGCCAATTCCTTCTTTTGTAGACACTTTTGTGCCTTAATGCACGAGATAAGACGAAGGTTCGTACTGGGTTTGTCTCCGTATATAATTAGGGTTTCGTGATTAGGGAGATGAAGGCGAACGGCCTTCTCGTGACACAAAATTTCAGCATGATGGGGGCTCAACCAGTCCATGCCGACAATCACATCAAAACTCCTAATAGTTATAGGCATCAAGTTTATTTGAAAGGTATGCTGATTTAAAGTTAGGGTACATCCTACATAGATTTCCCCGGCTGATTCTGTTTTCCCATTAGCCATTTCCACCGTAAAGGTTTCATTAAGCTTTTGGGGTTGTTGTTTTAGCAAGTGTTTGAATTTGTTACTCATAAAGCTTCGCTCTGCCCCGGTGTCACACCCCCAAACCTAGGATGGCGGAAACGTCCGGGGGTGGAGGACTTCATGTATAGTATCATAACAACAATTTGCAATAGTGATCAAAGTAAACACAACCAACATAAATATAATTGAACGAGTTACATCATTTTATGAGTTTACATGTTTCCAAATCAATTACATTATGTTGACAAAAAAAATGAAATGTTTGACGCCTTACGTCCCATCCTCAAAAGCACTTGGTTACCTGTTTATTGATTTCCTGAGAATACAAGTAGTTTTGAAAGAGTGTCAACAATTAAGTTGGTGAGTTCATAAGCTTTTGAAGGTGATGCTAAAATCCTTTTCTTGTAAAAATGATGTTTGTTCAAGAAAGA